CCCCCCCCCACTCATGCCTTGTGTCTCTCAATAATGAATAGACGTTAAAAAATTTTTTTTCTTCAATAAAAAAATTTTTTTATTTTTCCAATTTTAGTGAGAAATAATTGATGGACAATTTTTGGATGACTATAGCTTTATAGGATAGCTTGAAATCAGGAATTGTGATGCCTCCTGTTTTGTTCTTCTTTCTCAGGATTTCTTTGGCTATTTGGGATCTTTTGTGGTTCCATATAAATTTTAGAAGTGTTCTTTTCTACTTCTGTAAAGAACTGCCATTGGAATCTTGACAAGGATTGCATTGGGTCTATAGATGGCTTTTGGTAGTATTGACATTTTAACAATATTAGTTCTTCCAATCCATGAACATGGAATATCTTTCATTTATTTGTGTCTTCTTCAATTTCTTTCATCGATGTCTTAGTTTTTTCATCGATGTCTTACAGTTTTCAGAGTAGAGATCTTTCACCTTCTTAGTTAAATGTATTCCCAAGTACTTTACTGTTTTTGATGCTGTTGTAAATGGAATCAATTTCTTTATTTCTTTTTGAGATAATTTATTGGTAGGTGTCTGTTTTAAAATATCTCGTTTAATCCTTACAACAACTGTGAGGTGGATGACCTTTTGCACTTTAGGAGAGAGGTGATTACAGAGAAAAGGAGTAACAGAGATAGCTGGGAAGTCACTGAGAAAGGAACTGAACCCAGTTCTGTCTGACCCCCAAATCTCAGTTCCTATCACTATACAGAAGGCAAGTTCTCCATCCCGAGAGGCTGCTGGTAGGCTTCAAGCAATTTTTTTTTATTTAAAAAAAATTTTTTTTAACGTTTATTTATTTTTGAGACAGAGAATGAACGGGGGAGGGGCAGAGAGAGAGGGAGACACAGAATCCGAAGCAGGCTCCAGGCTCTGAGCCATCAGCCCAGAGCCTGACGCGGGGCTCGAACTCACGGACCGCGAGATCATGACCTGAGCTGACGTCGGACGCTCAACCGACTGAGCCACCCAGGCGCCCCTTCAAGCAATTTTTTAAAACAGATGTTAGCTATCATCCCCCAGCCTCCCTTCCTCCAGCCCCAGACAACTACTAATCTACTTTCTGCCTGTATAGATTTACCTATTCTGGACATTTTATATAAATTCAATAATGCAATTTGTGGCCTTTTATGTCTAGCTTCTTTCACTCAGCGTAATGTTTTCAATGTTCATCCGTGTTGTAGTGTGTAACTGTACTTTACTACCTTTTTTTGGTTGAACAATAGTTTATTGTATAAATATACCACATTTTGTTTATCCATTCATCAGTTGATGGACACTTGCGTTGCTTCCACTTTTCAGCTGTTGTGAATAATGCTGCTGTGAACATTCATGCACTTTGCGGGGACACATGTTTTCATTTCTCTTGGGTCAAATGGAGTTAAATTGCTGGGTCAAATGGTTGCATTACCTTTTATAAGCCTCAGATCTAGCCTTCAGAGGAGGAACTACTACTATGTCTTTCTCAGTTGAGGAAACTGAAACTCAGAGAGGTAGAACACTTGCCCAAGGCCGGCCACACAGTGAATAAATGGTGGAGCACGGCTTGGAACCCAGGCAATCTAGCTCAGATTCCATGCTCATCCTGCCTCCAGGGTCTCAGAACTTTTATTTTACCTAAGAGGTGGTCTAATTCACCCGATATTGGATCTCAAAAAGCTGGGCCAGACTCCTCTGTACAAAGGTAGCCCAGTCAGGAATGGAATCGGAGGAGCCCAATGGGAGCTAGCCAAGTATCCTATTCATCTCGTGGGGTGACCAAGGATCTGGGGAACCGAGAGAAGACTTAAGGTTAGGTCTTTTGAGTCCTCCCCAAAGATTTAATCCATTTTTGTGACAGTTTCTCCTGGACTACACTACCTTAAAGGTAAAATAAACAAGAGCTCCTGTAGGTAGTTTAGTGTGTGGCTCTACAGGTCAGCTGCCTGGGAGGGAGGAAGCCTCCATCACCTCTTTGTACCTGTGTTTCCTATTTGCACCATACTCCTGCTCTGAGGGCTATTCAAGCGCTGACTTGTCAGTTTTCTCCAAAGATGAGTTTTCAGAGAAGTGGAGAATGGGATAAGAAACCCTAGTGCAGGACTTCAGAGGTGCCTTGAGACGTTTACATGTCTGTGGGAGCAAGCTAGTCCAGATCCTTGCAAATTATGGAGGGAAAAAGTGGGACCAGGAGGGCGGACACTCAAAGTTAACCCTGTGGGGTCTGACCTTGGGGGCTGGGCAAGGAATTATGGTGCATTTCCATATCCCCCATGGATCCTCTCGATTTTGGTATCTCATTGCATTCCTTTATCTCTGTTCTAGCTAAATAATTGAGCTGTGGGTAGTTCAAAGTCTGCAATTCTCATTCAGGACCCTGGGTGTTTTTGTTCACTGCTGCACAAAGTTCATTGCCTGGCACGTAGTAGGTAGGGTTGTTAGGTAAAATGCAAAAAGCCCAGTTAAAATTGGATTTTAAACAAAATATGAATTATTTTTTCATAGTATGTCCCATTTGTTTACCTGAAATTCAAAGTTAATTGGGCTTCCTGTATTTTATCTGCTACATCTGCCAACCATACTAGTAGGGTCTCAAAAAATATTTGTGGAATTTGCCCTGGCCCTGCCCTAAACTTGCAGTGTGACCTTTTGGCCAACACTGAGTCCCTCTCTGGGCCTCAGTTTATCTGAAGAGTGGGGGTTTGGACAGTGACCACAGCGCAGAGATCACCAATGTAGGAAAGCGCTGGGTGAAATGCCAAAGAGCAGAAAGGGAGCTCGAGTCACGCGTACACCTACAGACTGGGTACCACGCGCGACTCCGCGCACCGGGGTTGGGGAAGTCCCGATCCCGCCCCTGAGTCGCTGGGACGGACCCAGGCTGTCGCCAAGGATACCTGGGTAGCCAGGAGCCCCTCCCCCACAAGGCCACGCATTTCCGCTGCGTTGGAGCCTTCTGATTGGACGGCCGTCTGGACGCTACCACCAGCCCAGAGCTCGCTAAGGGGTGGGGGCGGGGTCTTGTCCCCGTGGGACTCTCGCCCTGTGCTAGCAACCTGTCTAGGAGAGGATGGGTTTTTTGCCTCACACAGAGAAAAAGACTGAGGCTCGGGTCGAAAGAGTTTCCACTGCTTCTCCTACTAGAGCTTATGTTCATGCCTCTCCCTGAGAAAAGAGGGGGCGGGAAAGTGGGCAACGCACCCCTACCCGGAGCCTATTCGGTCCCAGGATCTGGAGCACCGGAAGTGTTGGCGACGTGTCAGTGCGCCCTACTCTAAACCTTCCCTCCCAGGCCACCTTTCCTATTCAGCTGCAGGATTCCGGGGCCGCCTGGGCGCTGCACCCCGCCACTTCCGCATTGAACCGCCGCTTCAACCGAACTCCCCACGTCTGCGCGCGCTCCCTCTCGAGCCTGTTGGTTGGGCTGGCTCCTGGGAGTAGCCACGCCCTTTCCCTCGCCCGGAAGCCAATGGACGGGCGTCTCCCGGCTGGGCGATGGGTAATTAATGAGGGCCGGGCGCTGATTGGCTGTAGGGTCGTGGGGGGCTGGGCGGCGGGGTAGGTTGTTCCTGAGGTGGGAGGCGGCACCCGTGGCTGAGAAGGAGGCCTGAGAGCGACATGTCCCCGGCGACTGAAGCAGAGCGGCCCGTGGCGCTGTTTTTCTGAGCCTTGGGCGGCCTGGCGGCCGACTGAGGACGAGGGTCGGCGGAGGCTGCCCCCGCTGTGGTGGCCGCCATGCTGGAGGCCCGGGCGGTTGAGGGAGCCGGCGTGGCGCTCCTGCAACTGCTATTGCTGCTGCTGCTGCCGCCGGCGCTCCGGGGGCCGGGGCTCGGCGTGGTCTGCTCGGCGGGGGCCGGGCTGCCCGAGAGCGTCATTTGGGCCGTCAACGCGGGCGGCGAGGCGCATGTGGACGTGCACGGGATCCACTTCCGCAAGGACCCTTTGGAAGGTCGGGTGGGCAGAGGTGAGAGCCCCTCGGCCGAGCCGTGGGATCCGGGGCCTGCCGTGCTGGGCGCAGTCGACCGAGGGCTGCGGGCTCTGAGCCCCTTCCTCGACCCTGGGGCCACGTCTCCGGAGCCAAGTCTGTCTCTGCGGTTTCCTCAGGGACCCGGTCAGAGCTCAGAGCCTGGCGCGGTCTCGAAGCTACGAAGAGAGATTGAGGCAGAGTTGGCGAGAAGTTATATTTGGACCTCACATCCTGCATTTTCTTAACCCCTCTCTTCCAGCCGATCTGGGAAACTAAAGACGAGGGCGGCTTGTTGCCACTTCGAGGCCTCACGGGTCGTAGGTTATTAGTGTCCCAGGCCTGGGTGGTTTTGCTGTGCTGTATTACGACCGTTCCTGCTAGATTCTTGCCATCCCAGAAATCGGCCGCCTTCCTTACCCCTTCTGCAGGAGCGGGGCTTGATTCTTAGCCGGAATAGAAAGGAATCTTCGAAGACGATGAGCCAGGAAAGTTTGATTGTAGCCTCCTCGTGCTCCCCCCTTTAGAGTGAGGACTATGTGTGCTCAAAAGTAGAAGCTGAGGCCACCCCAGAGGGTGGTTGTACTGAAGCCATCCTGCACGTGAGGCTGGTGGAGTGTCAACTGGGTCAGCCAGTGGAACCATCGGAGTATTCTATCCGAGAGTGTGTAGAGCGTGTAGCGCCTACCCTAAGAAGTCTTGAGGGGTAGGATTCCAGTGTATGGGGAAAATGATTCTGACTTAACTGACCAGCAACAGTAGTTTTCACAGAGCTGCGCAGTTCTCAAAGTTAGTGTAAGAATGGCGGGGTGGGGGTGGGGGGGAGCTGGCTAAAAATGCAGATTCCAGACCTAATAGATTAAACCCACGTTTCTGCACCAGGGGCTTCTGATGTTGGGCATCCTTAGACCAGACTTTGGGAAAATCTGCTCTAGACTCTTTTCTTCTGTTAAGTGGGATTGGACAACAGGTTTAAGAGGGAAGTTCCTTATTTCGTGTGTTGGAAGGAGATTTATGTTGTATGCTGGGTTCAGAGGCTGCCAAATTGGCAGTGTGCCATCTCCAGAAAACTAAGAGACAGACTTTCATTCTTTCCACGATGCCCAGATTTGGCTCTTGCCTTTACGAAAGGGTTTAACTTAGTTCTTCCAAGTTAATTGCAGTGTCCCGGAGTTTGTTGTATTCGAGGGTTTATTGCTTCCATACATGTGAGGATGTTGGGACACAGGGCTCTTTTCTGAAGTTCTGTGTTTGTCTTGGAATTTACTTGGCCCTGGCATGTAGGTCTCAGTGGCCTGGGTTCAGCTGAGTCAGGGCCCCGGTCTTTAGCAGCTGTAACAGCAGCCAAAGCCAGACTTCACATAAGCACGAGGTCACTGCTGTCTCCATCCTGGACCCTTCCTCTTTCTTCATGGGTGTGGGCAGGGAGGAAGGAGCTCTTGAGGAAACTAGAGACCGTTTGTGGACTTTGCCTCTTGAGATAGGAATGGTGAGGACGCGTGCAGATGGTTTCTTTCACTTGACAGATACCAGGCTTTACATATTACGTGATCCTATTAGGTTTATTGTGCAGAGGAAAAAGCTAAGACCATGCAGGTTCAGTTCCCAGTTCAGAAATCCTGGTTTTAATTTGCTGGTGCAGGTGATTTGCAGGGGGAGGGTGTGGTGCTGGTCAGCAGTCAGCCAGGCTCTCTGTCCTTGGGTTATTGGCTCATGGTTGCAATTTCTTTGGAGGGGTTTATTGTAGCAGGTAAAATTACATGAGACCTACCAAAGCTCGTGTGTACTGGAATCCTGTCTTGGACCCCAGCCTTTGGGGTGCTCTATAAACAGAGGTTCCCTGCTCCACTCTGTCAGGGTGTAACAGACAGGGGCCATGAATTGTAGCGGTAGGAAAGGGTGGATGGAGAGTGGAGGCTGGTTGTCAACTGTGGCTTGGACCAGCCTGTTGCATCATTGCACTTACTGGGTTCCTGACTGAGAGTAGCATTTTGGTGGCCTTAGATCTGGGTCTTAGATTCAATTCAGCTTCCATTCTCCGGAGGCATCTCTGTAGTTTCTGTGCTAAGGAGTCGGTGCCACCAAGGGAAGTGTAGCTGTTCACTCTGCCTTCCCTTCCCTGGCACTGTTTGGGTGGGATGTGCCAGGTATTTGGAGACCCTTGCTCCATGCAGCTATTACACTAATTGCAGTAGGAGCTGTAGGTCTAATTTCTTTTGCCACATGCCGGCGATATTGTTTCCAGCATTGGTTCGTTTTATGTTGAATGGATTTAGGCATTTGTTGCCAAGTTAATCCAGATAAGGGTTTGGCCTGCTTTTGAACTTGGTGTTTCTCTATAGTGTCTTTGTAGTTCAGCATTCTTGTAACCGTGAGTGGCTTAGGGCACCTAGTGGCTTTTGCTTTCAAAGGCACTTCATAATGTTTATTGAATTTCATTTCTGCCTTGAGGGTAGCTAGTGCTCACAGGAGATCCTCATAGCCCGGGAAAGGCTTTTTCAACTTGTGGGCTTCACCAGATGGAAATACCACTGTAGAGTGCTCAACTTGGGGCTTTGGCATGCTGCAAATTCCAGGTTCTTGCTCATTCTGGGTTCCTCCTGACTCAGGAGGAAAAGGCCTGGTTATTTGGCCTGAGGGCCCAGGACTTGGCCTGGTTTTAGGAGAGGCTATTTCCTCTTCATAGAAAGATATCTGCCAATCATTTGTATGACCTTGAAGAACAGGCTTTACCTCTCTGGGCCTTGTTTTCCTTCGTACTATAACTTCTCGTGCTCTAGAAATCAGTGACCTGAGTCTGAAAACTCTCTTGCCCAGAGTGGGTTTAAGTGTCTCTATCTTTCTCTGTTCTTGATAACCTTTCACATGAAGTTACAAGTAGGGCAGAACATGGTTCCAGAGGGGAAAAAAGGTGGCTAAGGGCCTGAACCTATTAGATTACTAATTCTGCAGGCCTAAGGAAGACCCTTTTCTGGGCAGCCTTCCTTTTGGCTGGGGAGGGATTTGGCTCTGGGGAGATTAGAGCATGAAAGACGCTGAGGGTCACTGCTGTGTCTGATTTGCTTAAGGCTGTGGGATTTGTTTAGAATTTTCTCTGCATACTTTCGCCTAAGAGGCCGGCTTCATCTGCAGGCCCTCTAAGTAGCAGAAGTTCACAGGTAGAGAACTTAGGTAGGTGGTATCCCCATTTTACAGGTGAAAAAACACCTAGAGATAATAATCTGTTCCAAATCATATAGTAGTTTGCAGAGCCAGGGTTCAAATCCAGGCCTGTCTTACTCTCAAACTGGAGCTGAATTTTTAAGTCGCCTGGCTCCTCCATTGTCCTGAACTAAGTAAGAAACAGCAGACATAATGTAGGCTCTTTGGCCCTTCCTTTTTGATTAACCGAATCCTCAAGGTTCCCCGCCTCAGTGCATTCAGAATAATTCTTTATGGACTCGCCTTGCGTGAGAAGGAAGTGACTGAGAAGAATAAGCTAGCGGTCAGGTGGGAGGCCTAACCTCAGGGTGGCAAGGGTGGGGTGGCAAGGGTGGAGTGCCACAGCAGCTCTGCAGTGGTGGTCTCGTGTAGGACAGCTTCCAGCTCATTCTGGCTTTTTCACTGCTGTGGTATCTCACCGCAGTTTTCCAATTTTTTATTACTTCCATTTCCACTTGGTCCATTCCCTAAACTCCTGGGAGTGGAGGCATCTTTTTTTTTTTTTTTTTTTTTTTTTTTTTTTTTTTTTTTTTTTTTTTTGGTGCTTATTGTGTGCATATGCTTGCCTGGGTGGCATACCTTTATGTCTGTCTGTGTCTCTATGAGGCACTGTTAAGCTGTTTACAGATCTCTCTACATGCAACCTGTGGGATAGGTGTTATCCCCATTTTATAGGTGAGAAGACAAATCGTTCCACACCACATGGTAGGCGGCGGAGCCAGGATTCAAATCCAGGCCTGTCTTACTCTCACACTGGGGCTGAATTTTTCAAACAGCCTGGTTCCTCCATTGTCCCGAACTAAGAAGCAGCAGACATAATGTAGGCCCTTTGGCCGCCTTCCTTTCTGGTTAACTGTCTGAGCTATATTGTGCCAACTTCAGCAGTGTGCTGACTGTGTACACGTCACTGTATTTTAGAGAGATCTGTTTAGCTGTGAATACCTAAAGTCTAAAGGGGAAAAAAAGAAACCCTTTTTACTGCTGCATCACTTGGGACTTGGACAAATGCAACTTTGCATGTGGCAGATCTCCTGGGAAAGCCACTTGGGCTTTACAGGAAAAATATTTAAAGGTAATTCCAAGGTTGTTAAGTAGTTTTTATTCACATGGCTGAGTTTTGTGAGTTGTGAGACTGCGGCTCTTACAGACTACATTACTGTCAGTTTCTCACTTTTTCCGCTCACGAGAAAGAAAGAAAGAAAAAAGATTCCCCACACATGTACAAAATTTCCTGTGTGTGTAAAAAGCAAATGTAGTTAATGTTCCAAATTTGTAAGGATCATGGTCCTCCTGGAAGAAGGGAATTCTTAGAGCTCAAGTGGAAGAGAAATAGCAGTCTTTTAATCTTCATGGTATAAGGGTTTGAGCCTGGGAAAGAGCTGAGGCATGTTGGCAGTCCATCCTTTGTAGTGCTACTTGGCCACCCTTTGATTTCTTGAGAAGAAATAAAAAGAAAAAAGCCTGAAGACAAAAGCGCAATGAGTTTCCTGTTGCATTGTCTCATCAGGTCCATCTGATGTCACGGCTAACTGTTCACTTACAGGAACTGTTAACAGTTATGTTTATTTTTTTGAGGGCTTGACCTTAGCCACTGGCTCTTTTAGTTACTCTTTCACCTTCCTGAGAGATAAAAGATCCTGTTGGAGTTGTGGTGATTCAGATGATAAAGCTCCAGGGATGACTGCTCTTGGACATCTCCCAAAGGATCTAGGTGCCAAATGTCTTCAGAGTCATCATGTGAGATTGGAAGGTGGTCTTGAAATCTTAATCCCAGGCTGGAGGAGAGACTAGGCGGGTGTACTGAAATCATTGCTAAATCTGCAGTTTGGAAAGTAGATTATGGAGCACTGGGAAACCGCATTGTGTTTACAGGATAAAGGAGTCAGAGAGGCTACTCTCTGAAGGAGGAAGCGTAGCTATTCATCTCTGAGGCTGGAGTGCAGTCAGTGTCTAATATTTGAGGCAAGACCCCAGTTTAATTTGTTATGTGGTTGGGGGAGAAAAACGTGTAATCTTGTCTCCTACTAAGGTTGGGGGAAGAGGGCTGGGGGCAGAAGAGGTTTTTGGCTTTTTGATACTGACTCAAGGTATGTAACTTTTTACCCTTTTTTTTTTTTTTTTTTTTTTTTTTTTAATGTAAGCTTTACCCTCAGTGTGGAGCATGAACACTCATGACTCTGAGGTTAAGAGTCACATGCTGTATCAACTGAGCCAGCCAGGCACCTCTAACTTTTTACTTTTACCCTGCCTTATTCCTTATCAGTGTGTGAGATGGGAAAGGTGGCTCCCCCAGGCCTTGGGCATCTTAGGCCAGAGGTGCCAGATTTTTTTCCTGCAAGGATGGCTTAGCCCTATGGAAAGAATAGCATGGCTTCACTGCTGCTCAGGCACCTCCTTAGTTGCTGTTTGTTGGTTCAGCGAATCATCTTGAGTGCCTGTTTATGTGCCAGCGACTTTGTTAGGTGCTGGGGCTACATTAGGAACTTTTTGGTTCTAAACTCTTTTGGATTAACTGGGGATACGTTCAGGAGAGAGTAGGTGAGGTTGAGTTTTGTGAGTTTGTGGGAAGTAAGGTGCTTGCATGTAAAAGAAATTAGAGAGTATCATGCCGTTCTTTTTGTGAGCATGTTTCTCTGGTATTTACCACCCTTGGAACTTTGTGAATGAAAATTATAAAAAGCAACTAAGCTGGTATCTTATTTGTAGTAAAGACAATGCAGAATGACTTGCCTAACATTTCCTGTTTGTTTTAGACCCTTGAGCTTTTCTGAATGAAAAAAACTCTTTGAACTTAATGGTCTTGCAGAGTTCTTGGCCATCCCCCCCTGTTTTATGAGGTTTCTCTGAAGCTCCCCTCTCAGGGAGCCAGGAGCTGTAGCTTTTGCCTGTTTTCTTCCTGTCACTCTCTGCGGTTGAGGAAAGTCATTTTAACAAGCTTCTAAGAAGTTCTTCTCTGAGGGTTAGGGAGCTGTTGGGGTGATTAGTGTTTGGTTTCTTTCACTTTTTCTTCTTTAGAGCCATTAGGCTCTCTGATGCTTGCCTTTGTGTCTGGTCACTTTAAAGCCAGATGCAGAGGGGGTGGCTCCTTCCCCTGGGAGGGTTACTAGCATTGCCCCAGAAATGGCTCTGGCAGTTGTGGGGTCTCTGCAATTTTTGTGTGTCTTGCCTCTGATGTGGTGTCTCTTTGTCTTTTGTCCCCAGCCTCCGACTATGGTATGAAACTGCCAATCCTGCGTTCCAACCCCGAGGACCAGATCCTGTATCAAACAGAGCGGTACAATGAGGAGACTTTTGGCTACGAAGTGCCCATCAAGGAGGAGGGGGACTACGTGCTGGTGTTGAAATTTGCTGAGGTCTACTTTGCACAGTCCCAGCAGAAGGTGAGGCCTGGTCAGTGGGACATTGCCACTCTTGGATAGTCCCCTGCTATGGGCCAGAGAATGTAAGAGCCTCCCCAGAAGGGAGGAACAGGTGAGCTTTGAGGAGAAGCTGGATTCCTTCTGCCCCTCGAGAAGCGATGTCCCATTGCTCACAAGGCTGCACTTGCCTTGGGGGTTGGTGACAGAAGGCAATGCCAGAATCTTAGTTCTTGGCAACTAACTGATCCTGGTCGTCTTCCTTACTTGTCAGCACCTTCTTGTTTTTTAGCCTTATTCTTTTCCTGTCTCTTCTTATGAATTTCCTTCTTTCCATGTTGAGCTTTTTTTTTTTTTTTTT